GACCTGGGTCCATGGATCACATATTAACAATCCTTGGATGGAAGTTACAGTAAAACGTAATTTAAGAAAAAAAATCCCATTCATCATGTGGAGTTACTAGTACAAATACAGTGATTAAAAAACATGGATGCTTCAGTACTATCAAGAGCATAATGTAACAGTGTAAGTGTCCTTGACCTTGATTTAGTGAGGAACTTAAGCATGAGACAATAGTCCCAATGACATTGATGGGACAGCAGGACTACTCACATGCTCAAAGTTATGTACAGATTAAGTACAATGCTGAATCAGCCTTTAGGTTGTATTGGCACAAACTGTTTATAAGTCAGATGTCTCATCTAGAATGTAAAACCCTATAGTATGCAGAATGAATGGCTTTGTATTAAAAATTAAAAAGCTATAGTGAAATATATTTTTACTAGAGAAGCTTCTTAAAACGGAATAGTGTTGACCTGACCAATATTACAGCCTTTTTTTCTTCCTCATCGTTATAACAACACAAACTGTTTGTGTTCTTACATAGCTTAAATCTCTTGATCACCTTCTGCTGGATGAACTCATCTTTGAAAAGGATGTTCAAACTGACATGAAGAATGTCTGATCATTTTTTGCTACTCTATGTGAGGTCAGAGCAGCAGAAAGGGAAGGTTCCCACTTGTTAAAGCTCCTACAAAAGAATATTATAAAAGACAGATATTCATGACCATGAAAGCAAGTACAGTACTGATGAGCTCATATTGCTGCTTGACAATTCTTCTGTAACCTTTTGTAACAACAACCAGAAAGAAGTTCGATGCAACCAGCTTTCTCTCTTTTGAAGTGATACAGCTGCAGTTGGAATATCTAAAGATTTTTTTGGGGAAAAAAATCAAAAGCTTATTTGAAAACTATGTGGGCACTTATGTTAGTAGCTTTGTCCTGAAGTGCCTCTAAAGATGAAAATGACTGTAAAAGGTACATATAGCAACATTCCAGAAGCCCTATTTGATAGAGATTTAAGATATACATATAGGAAATGAAGAACCGGGTTCTCTCTAAAGAATGGTGTAGGCTCTGTCATCATTTTCGTGTGTGTGTGTGGGAGGGACAAATAAAATAATTTAAAGGATAAGAGATCCCAAACTCCATCAGTTCAACATAGCTCTGCTAAGGAAATCTGTATTAACAATGTTGCTAAAAATATCTGCAGTAATCTGGTGAGAATTTTAAATACTTAACCAGTTAGAAAATAAAAGAAATCAGTCTCTTGTTTTCTATCTCAACTGGGCTTATTCTTTTTATGAAGAAAATTATGCTTGGGGCTAGCCACCTTATTTCAACGATGTGGGACAAAAACTCCAACCATCCTGAGGAGCCACAAAATGTCACCATGATCAGGAAAACACAGTTGTCATTGTAAAAGGGACTTCAGACTCCTAAAAGGTCCTGTTGGAAGACTCTGGAATTGCAAAGATTATAAAGTGAATTTTAAAAACATACAGCTTTCATTTCATAAACTGAGTTAGATCAAATTTACTGAGCCAAGTCCTAAATTTCTTCTATCTACAGTAACCCATCTAGGCAGTTATACTGAACTCCTCAAGTTAAGCACTATAAATTAAGGGAATTTTGCCGGAGTACAGATGGGATTCAGCTCACTGGGATGCAAATGGGAAGGTTATGTCTCATGACACTATGCTGCATATTTGTAGAACCAGTGATAAGTCATCTTGAACGCTGAAGGTTTCTTCCTGCTTAAGAAAGAACCAGCAGCACTGTTGATGGGTTGGAACTCAGGTAATAAACACAGTGTTCATATGATTTGATTTGTGATATGGTCAAGAGTGTCCTTAAAAGCGGCTTATAAAATTAAGTTTTCTTCCAGAGTGCATTGGTCGTGGCTGCATATCATGAGGTTGAGTACAAGCATTACAATGACATCATTTTAGTGATATGACTAAATGACATGAATGTCAACTTTGCCACTGGCAGTATGAGAAAAAAGCCAATGAACACGTCTCATAATAAGAGAACTACACATAAAGACATTTGAATTCTGTAATGTGAAAATAAAGATCACAGGCTGCTGTGTATGCTGAAAAACAGGGAGACACAAAGCCATAAAGGTACCTTCTAAAATACAAGATGTAGAAACGTTAATGGTAACACATAGCTAATGCTTCATAAAGAAATAAAATCCTTTTTGGGTTGTCATCTCTCTGGAGCTCAGGATGTTCCCTTTCAGTGTGGAGGCAACATGCACTTACTACTGAGCAGACATATGACATATGTGACTTAGCAATATTATCCAGTTGGATCTAGCAATTGTTTAAACCATTTGGAAGCAATAAAAGAGCACAATCGGGAACTGTGCTGTCTTATTTTCAAAAAAGGGCAGATTTTGGGAACATTCTGATGGCTGGCAATGTACCATATGCATCCTAACATCTTCTCTGAACACTCTCCATTTGTCCATATTTTCCTGTAAATAAAATGCTCAGAATTGAACATTATAGTCTGGGAGCTCTACACTGGAGTCATACAGACCTTTCATTTCCTGGGCTGTTATTCCTTTATGTATGCAGCCTAAAACTGCATTGGCCTTTGTTGCTCTCATTTGACATTACAAACTATGTCCAACTTGCTGTCACTATCACCAATAAATTTCTCCTACTGAATATCTGCTTATCCAGATGTATTAGTTCAACCATGCAAAAAGTTACTCACTTGCCCGGGGTTAGTAATTTTTTGACAGGCAAGTTATCAACATTAAGATAGGCAAATATACTTTGTTCTTCTGTGTGGTAAATATACAGATTGTCTGCAGCCCTCCAATTCACAATCCTATAATATCTCTGAGGCAACTACATATATGTCTGTCTGTCTTTTAATACCATTTAGCAGTTGGAAATAAGGGGGAAGGATCTAGTACCATGTGATCAACCAGCTCTCTGCAGACCACATAAAGTGCTCCACAGAACACAATTTAAGAACCTCTGACCTACAAGGCATGACTTACATACATGCCAGCTGACTTTTATATGTTCAAATTTTCCAAGCCCTGTTATTCTTTTTGCTTAGCATTAACACATCCTGGTCTCAAGTAAATAATACTTAAGCATAGTCAGAGTATCAACAGGTAATTTAGTAGCCTCAGCCAAACTCTCAGTGCTTTCTAGTTGCAGCTACCTATAGTAGGAGCATCAAAGTATGTGGGTGAAAGGGCTGCATAGCTACTGTCTCTTAAGCTTCAATCCTGTAAGTACTTACACATAAGCAACTTTATACAAAAACACATGGTCCCACAGACTCTACCTTGCACAAGCTTAACTTGACGCATATAAGTAATTCCATTGGCTTCAACAGGCATAAAGTTAAGTGCATGCATAAGAATTTGCAAGATAAGGGCATAAGTGATCCTATAATTTCTTTTCTCAGTTCACAAGTAAAAAAAAATGTATTTTTCTAACTGCCAGCCCAGCAACCTCAACCTGATATCTCAGTGGCTTAGTGTTTTCTGAGCAGGGCTTCACCATCAGTCAGCCTGACCCAACTGAGGTGTATTATACTCATGTGATACTTGAAGCATACAAACTTGTGTCCTACATTGAGGTAAAGATTCTGCCTCCGAAACTGTCACCAATTGCACTAATCCATGTAGCCAGCTATGGTAAGTAAGGTATAGGTATGGATAGAGCTCTGTGCAGACACAAAAATGTGGATCTGCATCTGCCAGGATCAACCCGTGATCCGACCCACAATCTGCTACCCAACTTTTACCTCTATTCGCATCTGCAAGCTGTCTCAAGGGGGGGGGGTGGAGATGAGCGAGCGGGAGGGGCGTGTTGCAGGGAAGAGGAAGCACGAGGGCAGGGACTGGGGGTAAGGGCCAGGGTCTCGAGAAGGAGCCATGAGGAGGGGCGAGCTAAGCTGCTGGATGGCGAGCAGGTGCTGGACAGCCCCGATTCCAATCTGCCGCCCAGCCCCAGTCCCAGCCACTGGTTGCTGGCTGCCAGCCCAGAGTGCATTGCACCCCACCCCCCCGGGTTGCCTGAGCCGGATGCTACAGGACAGGTGCCGCTAGGGTGAGCAGATGTCCCAGTTTTATAGATACAGTCCTGATATTCGGGGCTTTTTCTAATATAGACACCTATTACTGCACACTCTGTCCCTATTTTTCATACTTGCTAGCTGGTCACCATGATGGCACTAGGTGCTGCCATGAGACATGGCGCCAGAGTCCAGCTGCTGCTGCTCAACATGTACTTGCCAGATATGGGGCCTGCCGCATCGGGGGACAGGAGGGCAGGACAGGGCCCAGGAGGCTCCAGGGCCCGGCTCAGATTCCCCACCCCCCACATGAGTGGGCCTGCCTGAGAGGATGGGAATGGGCTCCCAAGTCTTCTTACCTGCTCCTGCTTATCCCCTGGCTCGTGGACTTTCATCCCTCCACTCCCTGAGCCGTCAGCCAGGCAGCCCAGCTCCTTGGTCTCTCCTTCATGGTCTCTTCATCCCCTGCCAGGCACTGACTCTCTCCCTTTCCCTCACTCTCCCTTCTCATCACTCCCAGCCCAGGCAGCATACTTTTTATCCCTATTTAAAGTGCTCCGGGCTCTGTCGGAAATCAGATTACCTTTTCCTGGACATATTTCTTGGCTTCATAGCCCCAGCGGGGGGGAAGGGGAGGAAGGAGTGTTCGCCGCCACTGCCACGAAGGGGGCTCGCGACTGGGCTGCGCTTTATAAGCCGCCCACCAGGCGCTGGGAAGAGGCAAAGTGTCTCCAAAACGGTTTGGGACTTGGCCGGGTGCAGCTCAGCTTGGCTCGGTCCTGTGTGAACGCGTCTCTGTCTCCACTCCAGATCCATAGAGCCCTGTGAGGTTGTATCTGGATCCGTTCCACTATCCGCAAAAATGGTCCATGGATATGAAGCAGATAGCCGCATATTTGCAGGGCTCTAATTATTGCATTAAAGTAAAGACAAAAGGTTCAGGTTTTTCTAATTTCCTGGATAGCAGAGGATAGGTTAAAAGCAATTTATTGGAAATTCTTAAACCATTTATCAAATAAGAAGCCTACACTTACTACAGTGACCTTCATGACAAGTTTCAGAGTAACAGCCGTGTTAGTCTGTATCCGCAAAAAGAAGAACAGGAGTACTTGTGGCACCTTAGAGACTAACAAATTGTTTAATTGGACTGTGCTAGGCTTTTAAAAGTAAACCTGGTACTGGATTCAAGGTTTTACTTCTGCATATCTTGATGTTTCTTCATTCATGATTTTTTAAAAAGGTTATGATCGTTCAGTATCACTAAACAGGTAAATTCTGAAGTGGTGGAGGAAGAAGTTAAACCTAATCAAAAGAAAATTTAGTGTTGTTTTTTTTAAGGCAGGGAACCAAAAAATTGTAACAGAAAGTAATGTGCTAGTGTCACAATAATCAAATATACTTAAATCATAGTTTTCTTAAAAAAAAAAAGTGTAGAGTGTAAACCAACAGAATAATACTTCATATACTATTAGCTTGTTGATATGGATACCTAATTGCAAAGTAAAAGAGAAAACACTGATGCACCAATAAATATTTCATTGCTAGTAGTTTGTTATATGTTGAGAAAAGATGATCGTTAAAACACGTGCATGTAAAACAAAATAAGTAACATCAGTTATATTTTTATATAAAAGACATTTATAGGATATTTAATATACACTTAAAATTTATATATTGAGATGTTTCAATGTTATCTGAATCTGTTATCCTTTAAAAACTATATCACAATTCTGTAAGAATATTTTATACTATTGCTATAGAAAACCAACTTACATAATCAGGATTTTCCTTCATACTGGCCCCAGTTCAGCTAGGTACTTAGGCATGTGGTTTGTTTTAGGCACATGAGTAATCCCATTGACTTCAAATGAATTACTAATGTGCTTAAAATTAGGGATATTCTTAAATACCTTGTTGAATTGGGGCCATTATCAGGAGGATTGTCACCACATTTAGTGCCGCCATATAATAATTTGAATGGATTTTCTTTCAATTATATATTACATTTACAAAATATTAAGAATAGTATTTCTATTACTATCATGGTAGTTGGAATGCAAATTGAATCCAGTGAGATTTCTACAGCAATGGAAGTACATTGAATAACAGGAACACATATCTTTCATGGAGATTGCGCAGTTTTTCCTTCACTATTGTTCAAGAAATGAAGATTAGTAATGCCATTTTTAGATTAGTAATGCCATGTAAACATTCAGAACATGATCAACCAGTGTATATACATCAGGGTAGGCTCAATTCTGCAAAACTTGGAGCGAGAGTTTCGCTATGAAGCCCTAATGATACAGGGTTCAATCCAAAGTGTCCTCAGCTTCCACTGACTTCACTGAGAGTTAAGGACACTCAACGCCTTCCAAGATTCTGCCCTTATTATTTAAAATATTCTAAATTAAAGAATTCAGCCAAACATTGTTACATATGAGTTTTTCAAGAACTGTACATAATTGTGGATGCTGTGGTTCTGGTTTTCTGATTTTTGTAGATTGTGCTCTAATTCTTTCAAACATACTTCCTGACGTTTCTCTCTCTAAAGAAAAAGAGGGAAGGGGGATGCAAGTTAGAAATAAAATACAAAATAAAAATACGGTAAGACTAGTACTTCAAGTTTATAACCCTGTCTGTCATTCCCTAAATTTTAGTCAACTCCACACAAACACAAAACCTTCAAAATGACCCCAAAATCTTGAACCTATACATTATGTCTCCTGAGCACAAATTTATCTGTTTGAGTAACTTTATACTCTTAAAAAAGGACATGAGTCCTGGGATATCCTTTACAGCAACTGTCGAACATTTCGCATTTCCATCATTAAAGATTTGTGGCACCTTAATTCCAATACAAACTGAAAACTCTCATGCTTATTTTTTTAATGAGAACATCTGTTACTGATCTTTAATGCAGCCTGATTTTTGTTGCCTATGTTACCCTTTAAAATAAAGGGTGAATGATAACACTGTTTACTTGTTTATTAGATCCATATATGGTAATTTGTTACATAAACAATAGTAATTTTTTGGATTTTCTTTTATGCCTATCATAACACGATTTCAGATGTGAGTTACTTAAAATAAACACAATTTTTCTTAAATTTATTAGTCATTTATAACATTTAGATTTAATTCTAACATTATATGAAATAATCAGATTAAAGTGAACTAAAGAATAAATTACCTTCTTGAGCCCTGCCCTGTTTCCAGCATCATGCTAACAGGGCTAAAACAATATGATTTTTGTTTTTCCTTTCCATAATGTATTCCCAATTTTATGGATATGTAACTGAAGAAGGTGAATATGTTTTGTTTGTTCAGAATAACACTCTCCTCAGGCATAAGGTCTGGCTGATCGCGGCTCCCACTGGCCGCGGTTCGCTGCTCCAGGCCAATGGGAGCTGCTGGAAGTGGCGGCCAGTATGTCCCTCGGCCCGCGCTGCTTCCAGCAGATCCCATTGGGCTGGAGCAGCAAACCGCGGCCAGTGGGAGCTGCGATCAGCCAGATCTGCGGACGCGGCAGGTACACAAACTGGCCCGGCCCGCCAGGGGCTTTCCCTACACAAGCGGCATCCCAAGTTTGGGAAACACTGTTCTAGAGGAATAAAAATCATAAGCATTAAAACGTATTGCTAAAAGAACAAGGGACAGATGATTCTCTGTCCCGGCATAATAAACAGATTTTACTTACAAAGAAATAACAAAAGTACCACAGAGACAACACAGTCTTGAAAAAAGCCAGTATTCTAAGAGTTTAATATGGGAAATAGCTATACAGTGGAATCCTGATTAATTGAGACCAAGGCCAGAACGCATAATCAAAAATTTGGATAATCGGGAGAATGGGCGAGGCTCCAGCTGTCAGCCCCAGAAGCGGCAGGACTGACAACCCGAGCCCCGCTGCCCTGTTCAGTTAATATGAAGAGCCAGATAATGGAGACATGGATAAATGGGGGTCTACTGTATTGTTTTGTATGAATAACATACATGCCTCTATAAGTTGCTTATGATTAAGGCTACGATTTAGTCATGGATATTTTTAGTAAAAGTAATGGACAGATCATGGGCCCTAAACAAAAATTCACAGCCTGTGACCTATCCAAGGCCTTTGCTATAAATACCCTTGACTAAATCCTAGCTGGGGGGGGGGGCCCAGGGTGCTGCTGCTTTGGGGTGCCCCCAGGGAGCTGCTGCTCTAGGGGGTCCCTGGGGCATCACTGCTCTGGGGGGCCAGAGCCAGCCCCATTAACTGCTGCTCAGGCCGTCCGTGGGGCCAGTTGCACCAGCTACTGCTTGGGCAGTCCTCAGTGCCAGCAGCCGTGGGACGCCGAGCAGCAGCTGGTGCGGCTGGCTCCTGGATTGCCAAGCAGCAGCCGGTGTGGCTGACTGCGGGACTGCCCGAGCGGCAGGCTGCAGGGACGCTCCAGCTGTCCTGGTGTTGCCTGAACAGCTGGCCCCAGGGTGCTTGGGTGGCCCTGGGGTCAGCCACACTGGCTGCTGCAGAAGTTAGGGAGGTCGTGGAAAGTCACAGAATCTGTGACTTCTGCGACCTCCGTGACAGACATGCAGCCTTTTGATAGATTCTTGTTATGGAGACATGGGTTTATTAAAGAAACAAAGCATGAAAAGTAAAAACAATGATCTAGATAAAGTAGCATCCCAAACACTCCAACAACATCATCTGTGAATAGATGACTCCTTGTCCCCAACCCTTGTGACAAAGCTGTTTTGCCAAGACTAAGGGAGAGACCACAGAGTATACAGGAACTCCTCACTTAACTTTGTAGTTATGTTCCTGAAAAATGCGACTTTAAGCGAAACGATGTTAAGTGAATCCAATTTCCCCATATGAATTAATCTAAATGAGGGGTTAGGTTCCAGGGAAATTTTTTTCACCAGACAAAAGAAATGTATATATATAATAATATAACATATATTATTATATATATACACACACACACACACCGGTATATATATACACACATACACACACACACACGCAGTATAAGTTTTAAACAAACAATTTAATACTGGTTCACAGTGATGATGATTGTGAAGCCTGGTTGAGGTGGAGGAGTCAGAGGGTGGGATATTTCCCAGGGATTGCCTTACTGCTAAATGAACTAGCAATTGACTGAGTCCTCAAGGGTTAACTCTCACAACAATCTACAAGGCACCAGGAAAGGCACACACACCCTGTGTGTGTGAGAAAAAAATGCGCATTTCCCCTTTAAGTAGCTGACCCCAGGCTTAAGTACACTGCCTTGCTAATTAAATCAGCTTGCTGAGACCTGAGATGACAGCTACTGCCTAGAAGCTCCCTCCCTCCATCATGTCCCCCCCCACGCTCTATGGAAGACGGGGTAAGCGGGGTGCAGGAGCAGGGGGGAGGCGGAGACACCCTGACATTAGCTCCCTTCTTCCCCTCCTCCCCCTAGCGTGACCAGACAGCCCAATAAAATTGGGACTGTCCCGATATTTAGGTGTTTATCCCAAAGATCAGTCGGGACACAATTTGTCCCGATATTTCGCTCCGCCGACAGCACTCGGGCACTTGGTTTTTTATTTATTTATTGCTCCGCCGGAAGCACTCGGCTTTTTTTTTCCCCCCTCCGCTGGCGGAACCCTTCCCCCTCCCGCCCCCATGTGTCCCGATATTTTCTTCCTCTCATCTGGTCACCGTACCTCCCCCCATACAGCAAGCAGGAGTCTCTGGGAGCAGCTCCAAGGCAGAGGACAGGAGCAGCACATGGCAGTGGGGGAAGAGACAGCTGCTGCACAGGGAATTTAGGGGAGTGGGGAGCGGATAGTGGGGCTGCTGGTCCACCCTGGTTCCAACCACCCACAAGCTAGCTGCAACGGGCTGCTCTTCCTGCAAACAGCGGACAAAACAGGCGGCTGCCAAACGACATTAGAAGGGAGAATTTCACAACTTTAAATGAGCATGTTCCCTAATTGATCAGCAACTTAACATTGAAACAACCTTAACCAGGATGACATTAGGTGAGGAGTTCCTGTACTAAACTCTCACAGATGCTAGCTTACAAAAAGGGAGGGGTAGTGTAATGGGGTTCACACTGCACCCCTCCAGATTCAGCCTCTTGGCCCCTCACCTCTGTGAATCAGGGACACTTCTGTCTGGTGCAACAGCGATGTTCTTTATTCATGACCAGTTTCCCACCACCAGTTTCCAGCTATATACAGGTTTTACAGCTGCTTGGCCTACCACAGGCCTTGCCAGCAACAGACTAGGAGGCTTCTACTCCCTCTGAGCCTGACCTCCCACTCTTAGTTTCCAGCCCCACACCCCTTCTCTCACTTCCTTCCAGCCTCATAGCTCCTGCTAATGAGGCTGGCAGGTGTGGTCAGTTATCAGGCAAACATAGGGCGGTTCACCCTGACCCAGCCCCAATACATTCTTTCTGATTGGGGCTGGAGTGGCAGGAACTGATTAAGGGCTTCTGTAGCAGCACCCTACCACAGGTAGAAAAGGGTGTCAGCAGACTGAGGCTGACACCAAGATGGATGCCAAGAGACAGAGATGTTGTGTAGGGTAGGCTGCCCCTCCCTGCCAGAGATGGAGTTAGCTGGGCTGATGAGTAGTTATACCTTAAACTTTCCTTGGTAGCCTTTGTAAGTAAGATTAATGCGTGCAGGTCTTTTATTGTTTCTACCCTGTATTCTAAAGTGCTTTGTACTTTTGAGGAACAAACAAATAATGCTTCATTTGGAAGACACTTTCTGTGTCACTGCAAATTTGCATTGCTACAAACCCCTGAAGGAAACCTCTTACAGGTACCAAAAGCGAGTTGGGCCTGTGTCATTACTATGCTTGGTAAAAAGGGACTGCAGCCCAGAGATCCAGTTTAGGAGTTGTTGGACCGAGTGCTTCTACTGAAGCGAGGCGCAGAAAGACAGACTTGTCAGCTAAAGGGTGTATTTGAGAGGAACTAAAAGAAGTCCAAGGCGCAGCTTGCCCTGTAGCCATGACAGGATTAGCAGCTTCCATAGAAAAATCTTAAACTCTCAAGAATCCAGCACCTCAAAAAGCAATCATAAGCCAGTGAAGAGTCAACATTACTCCTGGGGGGAATTTTGCGCCACTGTGCGTGCACAGAATTCACGTACCCAACAGATTTCTTTGCTTCCGCGCAGAAAAATGACTGTTCTGGCGGCTTCCCCATGAGAAGTCATGCACTCCTCCCCAGCAGCCCGGGTGTGTCGTTTTGGGTACCTGGAGCAGCTGGCGGAGAGGTAAATTGCTGCTGGGAGGGGGCATTTGGGGATCTACTTGCCATTGGCTCCTACTGGAGCTGGGCTCAGCTGCTAGCCCTGGCTGGGCTGGGCTGGGAGAGGATGGGACTTACTCTTCCCTCCAAGGAGCAGCCATGTCTGGGTCAGACTAGGAACCTCCCCCAGCTGCAGGAAGCTTTACCCTCTGGCTTCCTGCCCCCATCACTCCTCAGCTGTGGGGGGAGAGGTGATCATATGGGGAACTGCTCCCCCATCCACCCAACCCCCATGCATCCAGACCCTCCCATACGCAGATTCCCCTGCCAAGCCCCACCCCTTCTCTACCTGGCTCACGTGCCGAGCCCCTCTTTCCTGCCTCTGGACTCCCACCTCTGCACCCAGATCCACCCCCCACTGAGACCCCCGCCCTTGAACCCCACCTTGATGAGCCCCACCCCCCAAAACCTGGATCCCTCTGCTCAGCCCCTCACCAAGCTGCCACACCCAGATTACCCCACATCTAACCTTCTGACCCCACATCTGGATCCCCCCCACACACTAAGCCCCCTCCAAACGTGGATCCTGCCAGGCTGAGCCTGCTGGCCTCACACCTGGATTGGGAGCCAGGGCTGAGCGTGCATGCGAGACTCTGTCCCTCTCTCTTGCTATCTTGGTGTGCATGGTGTGGAGGGGTAGGGCCCTGGGGTGTTTCTGGGGCAGGGCAGGGCAGGCCAGGCCAGGCCCTTGCACTGTGTCAGGATCAGGTGCAGCCTCACTGCTGAGTCTGTGTCCTAGGTGGGGGGGGAAGCTGCAGGGTGATCTCCCACCTCCATGCAGCCAGTGGCCTGTGTCTTCCCCTGCCATGCTGGAGCCTTCACATTTATTTATTGAAAAATAAAATATGCAGGTTTTTCAGAATTACAACATAAAATTGGAATCAGAACTCAGGAGTTTCTACTTTGGAGTAATAGTAAAAACTGTTGTGCATGAAACAACATGACGCTCATGAAAACTGTTAAAATATAGTGGTACATATTGCACGTTAGGCTGATGTGGAGGGACACTTGTTATTGACAACCCCACAGGTAAGTTATCTTACTCATTTAAAAACCATATAGACTCCCCCCCCAAGTTGGCCATTTTAACTGTTGGTACAGTCACACACTGCTAGACTTCTTTATAATAGTTGCCCAGAGAAACATGACAAACTGGAAAGATGTATCAAAAATATTAAAAAAAAAATCAATAATAAAATCAACTGACTACACAAAGTTGAACTGGGAGCAGCCAAAAAAGCCAACTTCATTCTCTGTCTCAAACTTGGAAAACTCTAACAGATTTCACAGAAATATCCAAAGTAGAAGAAGAAACTAAATTCTCCCTGCAATATTGCTTATCTTTGTCAGTGATATGCCTTACCATTCTTATTGTATCATTTCTATCCATTGTAAATTGTTTTTATTTTATTATAATTAAAGACACATCAAAACAATTCTGTGATAATGGGGAGACGTATGCCATCAGTTTTGGGCTTTTTCCCCCGAGCTTCTAGAGGGTTTAAAAAACTTCCTCTGAATCTTAAACCAGAGTTCATGCTACAAGGAGAAAAAGGCCAGTTCAGAATGTAAGAAGGATCCCTGGCTCTAGGTGACCCAGTGTAGCCAGAGTTCCTTTTGACCATATGCCACCTTCAATTTAGCTGGAATTCATCTCTTTCCCCCCCCCCCCCAAAAAAAAAAGTCTGAGGATTTATGCAATATTCATGCATCTCATGAAGGATGAGAGAAAAATGAAATGTTGTGGTTTTTTTACATTAAGGGGGGAAATGTTTGTTACCTTTGTGGTGTTATGTGGCTGTTGGCTGAAAATACTGTTTTACAGCATTGCAGGGCCAGAATCAGGCCCCCGGTCTCTGAAACCTTATGTATCTCTTTGAGTACTGTTGTCTCTAGCCTGATGCCATGAAATCAAGGGCCAACATTTTCTATTTGGATACCTAAAGTTAAGCCCCCGGGATGCAATTTTCGAAGAGTAGAGGATTTAGACATGCCTTCCATTAACAATAATGGAAAATGTGTTGAAATCCCCAAGATTGCTTTGAAAATCTCCACCTAAATTCATACTTTGGCACTTAGGTAGCTAGCCTGATTTTCAAAAGGTGCCAAGTCCACAATATCTTCTTGAAATGGGGCCCTGCTGATAGGGTAAGTACCAATGTGCCACACCTAGGATCTGCAAGTTCTTGAAACCTTTGAAAATCAGGGCACTTATTTAGATTCCTGTATAAGGCTATGGGTGCCTAACTTTAAGCACTCATGTTTGAAAATATTCGCATAGATTCCTGGTAAGATCAGATCCTTTTAACAGCTCAGAAATACATTTATCCACTTCACTAAGTAGGTCTGGACCTGCTAACAATTTGTGTCTGGGTGAGCCTTTAGAATAAGGAGCAGCCCCAAGGGAGGTTAGTAAAGGGTCTTAGCAGAGTAGACAATCCTGCACTAATGTAGGAAGATGGATTAGCTATCCTGGAGATCTTTTCCTAACCTGTCATCTATAACACTGTGCACAAAATATGCAGTTTTTCTGATAGTTTTATGCTTAACTGAATTATGTGAACTGACCTTGTGCCCCAAATTATGTACAAATTCATTTAGAAATATATTCATCTATTTAAAACACATTAGTGTATGTAGTGATTAAATTAACTAAGCAGTTTATGATCAGTGTCAGTAAAGTGATAGATTCTCACATTGTTTAATTTGCAGACAAGTCGCTTTTGCTCCTCTCGTCTCTCTCTCAATTCAGTTTCCAGAGTCAATATTTTTGTCTGAAGAGCTCTCTCCTTGGATGACATTTTTTCCACCTCTTCAGACTCCTGTGATGGTAATGAAGGAAGAAAAAGCTATTTAATTACATACAGACCTGCATTTGAAACCCAAAACAACAAATAATTATTTTAAACTATTTTATGCTACAGTTGATCGTCTCTTCCATATTTGCTGATTATAATCCTCCCTCTATTCCCCACCAATTATCTTGAGCACACATGGAATACATTCTTATTTAAAATGAAATAAGCTGCCTCATAGGAAAACACTGTAGGAATGATTAATGGAGGGGAAAAAGTCTGACTCATCTGTGAATCTGTCCTGAACTGAGACTTATTCAGAATCCGTCAGTATTACTAGAATATGAGAATAATCCTACAATTGTACGTGCTACTTCACTTACAGTTAATTTAATGGGAACATTATCACTTCAGATATATATTTTTCTGATTGTACTGCCATAGTTACTGGTGATGTAAATTCCTACAATTCTTCGCCTATTTGTTTTATTGCTTGAAATCTTTTCTGTTCATGACCACACAAAACCTTGTACATTTTGAGTGTGGAAAGCCCTCTTCTGACATTAGAAAGGCTCAATAGCAAAGTCCTAGTGGGCTGCCCATTCAAAAGGGAAATGAAAAAAGACAAGCTGAAGCTTTTGATCAGAAACTCTGTCACTTCTGCACATTTAAATATTGGGTGGTTGATGCTCTTCATGTTGTTTGAAGGAAAGAATTCCTTTGTATAAAGATGAAGGACAAAATCCCAGCCCCATTGAAGTCAATGGGAGTTTTGCCATCAGCTTCAATAAGGCTAGGAAATCCAAAGTTCTTTGTATTTATTCAGGCAAAACTCCCATTGACCTATTTTTCCACATTGCCCCCTCCTATGGAATGATCTACCTTTCTTGATTTGTCTGGCTATCACACCTCCTCAAGCCCTTTGTTCTTTTCCAGAGTTTTCTTTATTTGAAAATGGGAAAAACTGCAATCAAATTCAGAAACATATTACACCATGTATATATATACCTTTTTTCTGCCTTCTTCCAAAGCAGCCTCCAACTGTCTGGCTAAAGCATCATATTCTGCTAATTTCTCTTTAAGCTGCAATTCACTGTGCTGAAGACTCTCCTCTTGGTTTGCCAGCTGATGTGCAAGTTCTTCATTTTGTACTTCCATCTTTTCTAACTGTCTTTATGCAAAACAGATACACACATGAAATTTGATTATGAGGAGAAAAATGTAAAAGTGAGTACTAGTCAGATATCACATTTACCTTTTAAGATATTCATATTTCTTCTGAATGTTACAGTTTTCCTCTTCCAAAGAATGGTTTCTCAAGAACCTGTTGTTGTCATCCATCTGTGAAAATGATGTTTCCAGTCTACTTAATGTAGATTTGCACAGGACATTATAAGCCAAATCAAGCTTGCCTTATTCAAGCTATCCTATTAAAATCAGTGCGCCTACTTCATCACCATGGCAAGCAGTATTTGGCCTATATTTGAAGCAAATAAAATACAACTATAGTAGCAGACTATATTGTAAGCTAAAGACTTGTTAAGGCATGAACTTAGGGCTGGCTTACCCCTGCAACCTAATGCATTTAGTTGGACAGGTTTAAATTTGTGCAAAATCTGGCTCATAAAGCTTTTTTTCCCTCCATTTTAAAATTATTTTGTCCTCGCAGTATATAAAAAGTGCTTGGAAGCTTGATAATGATATTTGTTTCCTTACCATTTTCCTACATGTACAATTGTAGTTATGCAGGAGCAGCTTAGGAGTGCTGTCTGATGGATTTCAATAAAGCACCAAAGCATTTATTTTCAAAAGAGCAATAAACTTTGCAAACATATATACTAGGCTTTAACTATATATATTAGACTATAGCTAGATATAATAGAAGAAAAATACCGATTATTTGAATTTAAATGTCTTGTCGACAAATTAGTGATCAGATTCTGATCTCAGGTACACAGTGAAAACCTTGAGAAACATCACTGACATTAGAGTTCCTCTGTATTTAGGCATCAATTCAGGACAGTCTTCCTCTTCAAGAAAGCACGCAAGCATTAGATTAACTTTAAGTATATACTTATTCTCAATGAAATTAATGGAACTTACTTAAAATTAAACACATGATTAAGTGCTTTCCTGAATTGAGGCCTTGGACAGGTTTAAGTGAGAGCAGAATCTGGTCCTATAGCTATAAAGATGACCTTTCCAAGAAATTTAACATAAAATCCAGAGCTTGTATTTTTATACGGATCATAAAAATAGCACATGGGACCTCTTTTTCTGTTTTTAGTGACGTCACTGGAAGTTTTGCCACTGACTACCTGTCAATAAGTTTTAGAAGACTCTTTCTGGTTTTCCCCATTAATTCAAACACTTCCCAGACCTCTGCTGTCACAGATTATTCTAGTCCACAAAAAAGATATATGATCTGTCACATAAACTTAAGTTTAAAATAAAAAACAGTAAGTTGTTTTTCTCTCAGTGTTCAGAATCAAAATCTTTGAAAAATGAAATGTATATAAAAACAGGAGGAAAAACACATTCAGGCCCTTAAGAGGTACTACAAACAGTGATTAAAAAACTCTAAAAATTACTTGAAATCATATTTTTTAGAAGTCTGAAGTGTCCTTTTTAGTATATTTATATGTAAAGTACAATGTAACTTGTAAAATAGAAAGGATATAATTTACTGCTTTGAAGTTTATGATTGGTAGCCATTTCCCTGAACAAGTATTGCTCAGCTTATAAATTAGGCATTACAATATCATTTTTTAAAAAAAATGCAATATTTCCATTACATGAAAAAAATCCAGAGATTGAAATTACTCTATTAGATATAACTGTGTCCTTTAGAACTGTATAGTACATTAACAAGGAAAACTTTCTGGGATTCAGCTGGGGATTCACATTTAACATATCTAATTATTCAAAAGGGAAGAGGTCTTTCTTATTAGAAAGCTCTAAAATCTAAACGCAAAAATAAATAAGAATTTTCAGTTAGGTACTGACGCTGCAATTTCATCTCCCTAAACGTACAAAAAAATGCAGGCAGAACATATCACAATTGCTGCAGAAGGAACTTTTGTTCTATTAAGCAAGTATGTGGATGAGAGAACATTGACACGGGTTCCCTCAGATTGCAAAACTACTCCCAAGACTTTCTTCCACACAGTTTAGATACTTTACTATTAAATGGTTATGCTCTAAGCACCTGAACCTGTAGCTCCCTAATGGTTTTGGATTTGTCTGCATAACTCCTTTTGTAGGACAACAGATTTTCCTGATACTCCTGCAGCCTCTCTTCAGCTACTTTCAGTAAGTCACGAACATGTTCTAACTCCTTCAATTGAGCCTGTATCTGGCTCCTCACCTGCACGGTAGCATTAAGGGAAAACAGGTAGGTACAAAACCATAAATTAATTGTTAAAAAATTTCAAAAGCTTTCCATATGGTAACATACATAATACATCTAAAATTCTACACACATTTTTGCATAATGTTATTCCTCCAATAATAATGAAAAATAGAATGAACATTATGGCACAAACTCATCCCCCCAGCCCTATATTTTAGTTAGGGCTCAGTGAAACTGGAAATGTAATGAAATGTTTATGAAAAGTAATGTGAACATTTTCAACAAGTTATTGTATGTGTATTATTGTATGTGTACTGCACTCTTAAAATGCTGATTTATTGGGACATTGTGTAACAGAATATTTTTCACAGTGAGGCATGTGAAAGCTCTAAAAGCTTTTTAGATGAGACATTCTGAACATGAGGATTATAGTGTAATTTTGGAAGGCAGTGGCAAGTGCCCTCTTCAGCTCCAACAGCTACATACTTTTCAAACCTTGTTTAGTTATGAGATGGGCAAATACCATATCCCCATTTTACAGATGAAGGTTGGAACAGTATATGACTTGCTGAAGGTCACACAGTGGGTTCGTTTCAGAACCAGAATAAAAACCTAGGACTTCTCATTGTGAGGCTCAGGCCTCATTTTTAAAACCATGGTGCCCTATAGGCGAACCAACACCTGTCTGTGTCTCAGTTAAAAAAAAAAAAGGGGGCAACAATATTTACCATAAGGGAAATCCACAAACATATAGCAATTAAGTTATATGCAGTCACAGTTAATCAGGTAAAGGATTATCCCAATTTTACTAATTCAGAAACTGAAGCACATGCTTCATGCTCTACCAAGCATGGCTAACAATGAACCAGGGAAGAGTCACGGGGAGCCAGGAAGCAGATTGAAGAAGCATTGCCTCTGTGTAGATACCAACAGAGATCTATGTAGAAACATAGGACTGGAAAGGACCTTGAGAGGTCATCTAGTCCAGTCCCCTGCACAACCATAGTATTTGCATAGTTGGGAATGTTGCTCCCCACAAAAGGAAGAATTTGTAGGATGCTTAGCAAAGCAAACCGTACAGTAATTTCCTCCTTCCCTGTCCAGCTTCCACAGCTTTTCTTGAGGGTGGGGGTAAACTAGGCCACTGATTGGTATTTAAAAAGCAAACAAACAAATCAGTCAATCTGAACATTCTATGGTGGGTTCACAAATTGTTATAGTGTGAACCACACCTTAATTGAGAGCATCTTATGGACCACCTCCTGGGAATGACTGCCACTCCTGCTCTGCAATTCTCACTCTGTGGTGATTACAGCAATTGCTTACAGGGAAAAGTAATGTTAGTGAAGTATTTAATGTATTTTTGGCATTGTTTTATGCAATTTAGTACCTGGAAAACAAGAAAGCCACCACCTTACAACCACCAGCAAGTGGTTCCCAGGCCAGTCTGAGGTTCACTGTTCTACAAAATACCATGAAACCATGTTATACTGTTTGTTAAAGTGGACTACTTACCTCACTTATCTCTAAATCTTTGGCTTCTGTTATTATTTTGTTTTCATTTAACACTTTTTTGTATCTGGCTTTCAGTTCTTCTGCTTCTGTTTGTAATTTTTGTACCTAGGATACAATATATTTTACATATATTTGCAAATGCTACTCCATCATTCCTTAAAGCTGGAAGCATTTATGTCAAGCAACAGCCTTTCATTTCCCCAGATGGTACTTTGTCATTGCCTATACTTACTTATTCATTTTCTCTATCCTCATAATTGCCTTCACAACTGAGTAGGCTGAAGAAACATTGAATACCACCCAAGCTGCTGAGCAACTGGAGACTGCTCCCTCTTCCAAGCCATGTATTGTACTCGTACAGATACACAAAGCCTATTTTGACTTTGTTGCCCCCATACTTATATCTTTGCAGCGACATAAACTGTGACTTGGCACTATTTGACTGTTATCTGACTCATTTACTCGAACCCCCTTGCATCACTCCCCAATTGCAACAACTGCAGTTTTCCTTCCTTGCCGTGTGACACCCGGTCAACCTGATGAAGTCAGCCAAATGTGTAAACAGCAAATGTAGTCTTCTGAGACTCAAACAAGACCAAATTACTTTTCAGATGAGGTTCCTATGCATTAATTCAAGCATTGTAGTTATTTTTTCAGAGGCAAACTTTTCTGTCCTGCAATTAAAACTCATCTAACAAAGCTCAAATAGCATTAATATATTCATGTTAAGACACTTAGGCTAGGTGTACACTGGGGGCGGGAGGGTCGACCTAAGATACGCGAATAGTGTAGCTGAAGTCGGCGTATGTTAGGTCGATTTACCTGGCCGTGAGGACGGCAGCGAGTCGACCGCTGCCGCTCCCCCATCGACTCCGCTTCCACCTCTCGCTGCAGTGGAGTTCCGGAGTTGATGGCAGAGAGATCGGGGATCAATTTTATCGTGTCTACATTAGACGCGATAAAATTGATCCCCGATAGATCACTACCCGCCAATCTGGCGGGTAGTGTAGACATACCCACAGACTTTAATCAAAAGCTTATCATGAAAAAACCCCCACAATCTTGGAAACAATTCACTTGAATTTACACAGGCACTTGATGCTCACTGCACTTTAAAGTTACTTTATTTCATACAGTAAATAAAAGGCAACAAGTGGTTAATTAATATGATTTGCGAGCACCTATATCTTCCATTTCAAAGGCTTTGTTACGGCCAAAGGCCATATGCAAAAAGTTATAAAGACATAAATATGAATATATCTAGCCATTTCAAGAGATCATACTTCCATGTCTCCAAATTTCAAAAATTCTCATCACTTTAAGATACATGGGGTCAAATTCATCCTTGGTGTAATGAATGTTGCCAGTTATTCATTAAGGGCCTGATGCAACTCCCATTGGAGTCACTGGACAGGCTCCTATTGACTTCAGTGGGAGTTGGACTGATTCTAAAGGGCCAAGGCCAACATTTTCAAAATTGTATGCATAAATTTAGGCTCCTAAACACATTTTTGGCGCCTAAATGTCTGGTGTGGCTTTCTAAGGTGAAGAGGACCCAGAAGCTCCTGCTGAAGTCAATGGACCACCACCTTTAAAACGACCAAATTGTACCCACTTTTAGTTAGATAGCAGTAACTGAATTTTTATTTCTCATGGGGATAAAAATATTCAACATTAATTTACCATAATTTAGATTTGGTGTGATGAGATCTTATTGCAGACTGGAAAATTCTGTCTGTGAAAAAAGTGCTGTACTGTTTAAAATGTTTGTAATTGATTTAACAGAGAGAAATACTACTTCAGTTAAAAAGAGCTTTTACACTGCAGAATACTTAAAGGTAAACCCATTCTTCTTACATGTGTTTCACAGGTTTTCCATGCCTCCAACTTCTGTTACTTATCAAAAATATATGCGCTTTAACAAGGAATTTCCCCCTTTGTATTCCAATCTCTCCTCCATCTCATCTTTGTAGTGAAATCAAAATTACATCAATCATTTCCACTGTAACAAATTCCTATGATAAAGAGCAAAATTATGGCTTCACTGCAATAGCAAGTAAGTGGAGAAGCTGGGCTGAGAGGGAGAAAGTTCTTTTTTTGAAACAAACGTAATCAAGAGACGCAGTGAGGACACTAAGTTCCTGGCATCAGGAAATGATATTTGTATTGTTTTCTTTTTTCAAATTTGCTGCAGTGTGACAGACCCCGCTTCACAGCAAATATTTTGAAAGGACAACTCTGAATATAAAACGCCAAATTAACTGGTAATATAATGGCTCATTATCCACCATGGAGAACGAGCTGCAGCTGTTGTGTGGGGGCAGTTGATTGTCCAATCCCCTCCCTCTCAAAACAGTGGGTGTCAGCTAATGTCCAGCCTATTTCTGAAAGTAGCCAAGCCATTAGTTTGGACCCTGATAACTACTGAAGGCTGGATGTGAGGAACTACCTCTTGTCTCTTACAGCAGGCTAAAAGTTTTATTGTAGCTCTTTGCTCCATAGGCTAGGCCCATTGGCAGGATTTAGAGTTTGTAATAAAACTGTTGCCTGGTCAGTAATTTCAAAATACGATGAGTCAGGGATGTCAATCAAGTGTGTCCTTACACTATCGCTGAATTCTATACAACATCTGATTCATCATGCTAAAATTTCCTCTCTGTAAACAAAGGCACATACTACAAAGGAATTGCTAAGGAACTTAAAACAGATTTGTAAAATTTGGCCTTTACTGGTATTTCCCTAGCACTGAAACAAAATATCCATATGCCGTATAAACAGACTGCCATTGGTTTCATGGTGCATTTGTCCAAAAAATTTTCTTCAAGGTATTGTCTGTTTTCTATAGTCAATGGTATCTAAGTACCTGGCTATGTTCCAAGGAGAAAGTCTGGGATACACACCTTAAATCACTCAAAACCACCTTCATTAAACAAGGACACTCCACCAGAGAAGTAGATCGCATCATGGAACAGGCCACCCAAATACCCTGAGAGAACCTGCTTCAATGCAGAAATACACCCCCCTCCGACAGCACACCCCTAGTTGTCACCCACCACCCCATACTGGAACCCATAAGGGGTATCATCAAACAACTATAATCCATACTCGATGGGGACCCTACACATGTTTATCACAACATGTGGTGTACCTCTTCCAGTACACTAAATGCCCCAGTAACAACTGTGTGGGTGAAACCAGACGATCACTACAATCTCGAATGAACTCACACAGGAAAATGATAAAAGACAAAAACACCATATCACCTGTGAGTGAACACTATATCTGACCTATCAGTCCTCATCCTCAAAAGAAACCTGCACAACACCACTTTCCAAAGGAGAGCCTAGGAACTTAAATTCATAACTTTGCTAGACACTATAGCCTTGTCTTCACTACAAAGTTTTGTTGGCAAAAGCTGCATTTTGCCGACAAAACAGGGGAGGTGTACACACTATAGAGCTACTTTTGGCAGCAAAACACTGCTGTTTTGCCAACAAAATAAAACCACCTCGACGAGAGGCATAAAGCTTTTTGCGGCAAAGTTAAAGCGACAAAGCGTCAGGTCAGTGTAAGCTGACTGTTTGTTTTGTCAACATAGCTGGCTTCCACCAGTATCCTCCAATGCGTGCAGTGACCACTCTGCTCACTGTTTTGATCTCTCCTGCCCCTTTCAAAGCTCCAGGACAGCTGAACATGCTGCACTGCTCTGTTCTGGGAACAAAGAGCAAATCATTAACTTGGAATGCTCCTGTTCTGTCCTGCACTAGAAACGCAGCAGCAGACAGACTGCTGCTGCAGGGAATGGAGTGGTGGGTGGGGACTGCTGTGCTGCTTTGACATTCCTTAACATGGAGAGCTCAGAGCCGCTCAGGATGCCACCCCCGGCAGCTGAGGAGGCTGTGGGAGAACTTGGAGGGAATCACAGAACCATAGGCAGGCAGGCAGGCAGGCAGGCAGGCAGAGCGGGCTGCTTCGGGAGAGACTGCTGTGCTGAGCAGGGCCAGGGGCAGACATGGAGGGGCATGTTCCTCTCCCCTGCCTCAGGATAGGTCGGTTGGCCTGCTGTCTCCTCCGCCCTGGACACACCACTCTCCTGTCTCTCCCCCCACCACTTCAGTTGAAAAGCATCTGATAATCTGCTAGGATGCCCATGGAAAGATGGGATTGAGAAACCTGCATCATGTGACACTGTACCTGCCCCATGAGGCATTGCAAACCCTTTCAAAAGCATCCTGTGGCCAGTTGCACATTGGGATAGCTACCACAGTGGCCTCCTCTCTGAATTGATGCAACTACTGCTAGTGTGGATGCACTCTGTCAACAAAAGGCGCATAGTGTGGACATGCAACAGTGGTTTTAATTAAAGCAGCTTATCTCCGGGGGGAGGGATAGCTCAGTGGCTTGAGCATTAGCCTGCTAAACCCAGGGCTATGAGTTCAATCCTTGAGGGAGCCACTTAGGGATCTGGGGCAAAATCAGTACTTGGTCCTGCTAGTGAAGGCAGTGGGCTGGATTCAATGACTTTTCAGGGTCCTTCCAGTTCTGAGAGACATATATCTCCATTTTTTTAAATTATTATTTTATAACTTTTGCTGACAAAACTTTGTAGTGTAGACAAGGCCTAAGAATCATGATCTTACTAAAGACAACAATCTGTAACCCACTAACCCCCCCCCACACACTTTTTGTACTATGACTACAGGGATGCTAATAAGGCACTTCACCTTCAATGGTCCCTTAGAATATGTGCTAACTACTTATGCTAAACTGTTCAACCTCATATTTAGCTGTGACACTCTGAGGGCATGGCTACACTTGCAGATGTAGAGCACTGTGAGTTAAACCCGCCTTCGGAGAGCGCAGTAGGGAAAGCGCTGCAGTCTGTCCACACTGACAACTGCTTGCGCACTGGTGTGGCCTCATTTGCGGCACTTGCAGCGGCATTGGGAGCAGTGCATTATGGGCAGCTATCCTGGCATGCAAGTGACTGCAACGTGCTTTTCAAATGGGGGGGGAAGGGGGGAGATGGTGTGGTGTGTAACAGGGAGTGTGTTGTGTGTATGGGGGGGAGAGAGAGTGTCGGTTTTTGGGGGGCTAAGAGCATGTCAGCAGGCTGTGGAATGCTGTGCGTGAGGGGTGGGGGGGTCTGCTGCTGTCTGAACTTACACAGATAAGCAGAAGTCTGTCAGAAACGGAGCTTTCAAACAGCATATCCGCATTCCTACAGTGAGTTCAAAACAATGACAAGAGTGGCCACTTGACTTAAGGAGATTATGGGACGTTTCCGGAGGCTGATCAGAGCGCAGTAATGCAACACCTCATCCAAACTGGCACTGCGGCGCTCCAGCGGGGGTGCAGCAAACGTTATTCCACTCGCCGAGGTGGAGTACCAGCAGCTCTGTAGCCGCGGAGTCAGAGCGCTCTACGTGTCTTGCCAGTGTGGACAGGTAGTGAGCTAGTGCACCCGGTGCTCCTTTATTGCGCTGTAACTCGCAAGTGTAGCCAAGCCCTCAATCCCTTTCCCAGACCTGAGGAAGACTTCTATGTAGCTCAAAAACTTGTCTCTTTCACCAACCGAAGATATTACCTCATCCACCTTGTCTCTCAAATAAGAGCTTCATCATTATCTCAAAACTGCATATAGACATAAAACTGATACTTAAGTCTTCCAGGTCCATTAGTCACCTGAGTTTTATACTGTTCAGCAAGGTTTTCCTGCTGCTTTACTTTTTCTTGCAGGTTTAAAAGTTCAGCTTCAGCCGAAACAGTGTTGTCTTCCAAAGCAGCAAGTAAAGCCTAGATTAAAATACACAGAAAATAAATATTTTATTCTTGTTATAGGCAATACACTTTTTTTCTGATAGTGGAGAATTAAGAAATCAAAGTACCATCAGCACTATTATATGACTAGCAATTAAACTACTGGTATTTAACTGTACAGGATTACATTTTATTATTTTGCATGGTAAGTAACTGTGACAAACTAATTTAAATCTGTCAACTTCCATTCATATTTGATCCAGAGTAGAAATACTATACAAAAGATGTAAATCCTGTCATTTTAAAGACAGACTGAGTGTGAGTTAATCTAACTCTAGGGCAAACCAAGATTCAATCAGCTTGATTCTCTGGCTGGCTAAGATGCAGGCAAAATAAAAGAGGCATTTGACAGTCTTAGTTTTAAAAAAGAAAATTTTGGAATTATTTTCCAAGTTGGAAGGGCTGTTGGATGTTAAAGACTATAGGGGATAATAGTCACTATACAGAGAACAGAGACTATTACACTTCCCCCAGATAGTGGAATATATTGATCAAACAATATATTGTTGAATTGCCTATGTAACCTTGACTTGCATGTCTGATATGATGATGAATTCTGGAACATCTTTATCTCCAAGCTAGGAGTGTGATTCCCAACTTGAGGAGAAATACTCGCACTAGTTCTGATCAAGCTACTATGCTAAAAACAGAATGTAGTTGTGGCAGCACAAGCAGTGGGACGGGCTAGCAGCCCTGAATATATGCCTGGGGTCTTGGATGGGAACGTACTTGTGGCAGCTAGGCCCTTCGCTGCTCATTGCTACACTCTAGTTTTATCATGGTCGCTTGATCAGAGCTAGCACGAGTATTTCTTCTTGAGCTGGGAATTACACACCCAAGCTCCAATTCCAAGTGTAGGCATACTGTGAAAGGCTAGAAGGACAAAAGGAAAAAGTACTTTCTAGACATGTTTAGGTTTTTTTAAACTTTTATTATAACTAAACGTAGACCAGATATTATGTATACTATTTATTTTATTCTGAGCTGACCTTCTCTCTCCACTCTTAATAAATCTTGTTTTTAATTGGATCTCTCGAGACTTACTGTTTGGGAATTTCACACAGAAAGTCAGATGCCATTTGAACTATATTTGCAGCAATAAAATTACTTGAATGGTAAAGAAGCTTTCTTATTACAAACTGTATTATTTGCAGTATTTGTAGATCAGATGACATATGAACTACGCATCTTTTGATGTAATTAACAATTAAATAATAATTGTGACTATAATCTTTGGAGGAGTGGGATGAAAGGTGGCCACCCACAAGCCCCAGTGATTGATTTTTCAGTGTGTAAAGCTTTGGTGTGCAGGAAAAGGCCACAATGGAGATATCCAGGATCAAGAATATGAACCACAGAAAAAGAGTAGTAGGATAGGTAGGAGCAAAACCAGCAAAGAGAAGTCCTAGAGACTTTATCCAATTGTGCCAAGCAAGTTTGAAACCTCCCTAACTTAATTTGAAACTAGCTATTAAAAGTGAATTCAGTTCCCATGTTTGGAACATTAGTAAAATTTTGTTTCAAGTTAAAAGGGTAACTGTTAGTTAAGTAATCATATAGATAATGATAATGAAAAGGACAGAAGGTAGTGTGGTTAAGGTACAGGACTGGGAGATCAAAGACCTATTCCTAGCTCTGCCACAGATTTCCTGTTAACCTATCAATGTCTCATTTTCACCAACTTCAAAATGGGGATGATAATACCTACTTCACAGGGGTCTTGTGATGTTTAGTTCATTAATACCTATAAAGCTCTTTGGGGTCCTTGGATGGAAGGTACTGTATAAGTGCACAGTTTATTAAAGGAGGCCTCGAGATATTAAAAACGTATAGTAATAACAAAATTTGAATTAAATCTAGGTACTCTTTATTTTAAAATACATCAGGTATCCATGGTTATTCTCATACTGAACAATGAAATGATATAACAATCTACCTTTAATTTTGCATTGTCAAGACGAATATTTGCACTTTCTGAACTGATAGAATTAAGCTTTCCATGGATTTCTTCATTTGAATTTCTTCCACGATCTTGTATTTTTTTCATGTCCTCCAAAAGGTTTGTGATCTGTCTTTATTAAATAAATCAAGAACTTTTGCAGCAACTAGCATGTTGTACTTTTTAAAATTTAATTTGCATATTATGTTCCTCTAGCAGCTATTGAAAAGTTTGTGGGTTTTTTTTGTTTTTATTAAAGTAACTCCATATATTTACACACCCCAAATGAGCAACAACTGGAGAAGTTGGAAGTTCTTCAGCTTTTCCAATAAATGATGTAATAAGATTAAAGGATGTGAAATGGGGTTAGAACAATTGTAAATAAGCTGATTAGATGGAATGCACAGGCACTCTTCCAACGCAAATATCAGATTATATATATTTACAGTCTAAGACATTATGATGCAGAATTTAAAAAGGGACTGCCAAATAAAAAGCTATCTTAAAACATTTTCTTACGTAGGTTAGGAATACTACCTTCAACTATTAAAAGTAAACCAATTCTACTTTACTTTTCACCATTTATACCAATTTACTTTTTTTTTGAAAATTGTCTAATCAGATTCACTTCTGTTCACAGACAGTTTAGCTTTCTGGTGCTCATTCACTGGCATAGTGCCATAGTTTTTGTTGCAATGTTTAATTCTAAGCAAAGAAACTTTCTCTTTGAAATAAAAAAAAAGAGAACGCTTTCCATGAAAATTTGGTTTTCTGAAACTCAAAAAACCAAAACCCGTAAACTTAATTTTGCCCTTATAAACATGTGAACATTCTTCTTTAAACAGCTATTTGACAAAACAAACATTCTGCATGAAACCCAACAAAAAAGTATAGGCAGCAGCCATTAGTCTTATTTTATGTATTTATGACAAACCTATTAGAAATATGAACTGTAGTTCCAACCATAAAAATATGTAAGGATACTTCTTACCATAAGCCAAGGAAAAAGGCATTTTTAGTTATTCAACCTTTTTCTATTATATATTTTAAGATTTTAGGGAGTTCTGTTTTGTCTGTGATTACAGACAAATGGCATACATGCATGCATTCGGGAGCAAATCCTACCCCCCCATCTCCATGTATGGAAGGCCCATTCTGTAGTGGAACTAACTGGTCCAATTCACTGCAGCAAAATTGTGAATAGAAAGCCAGGAGTCTATGCAGGGAGGTTCTTCTGTGCTGCTGTGGAGGCCAGGTTTGACAGTGGGGCTGGAGAGGAGAATCCTTGTTGTATCAGTTAGTACTCAGATCCTTCAGCTATTTTCCCCCTATGGGGTGTAACCCAAGTACAGGTTACAGCAGCTCATAGCCTGTAATTTCAGCCACTGCTGGCAGGTGAGAGGGTTCCCTGTGTCGAACACAGTAAGCCCCTGTAGTCAGGAATGATGTAGGAGTTACTCTTTAGTTATAATGGAAGTTGTGTGATCCAGTGGAGAGAAGGCGATAATGCTAAAATATGTTCCATAGTTGAAACATCTAATTCTGAGCACCATTTTCCAAGTTCTAAATTCTACCTGGAATTTTAAATAGTAAAAACATGTACATGAAATTAATATTATTTCTTATTGATTTGCAAAAAGCTTCAACAGTTTAACTTACTTCTTCAGAGTTTCAAATTGAACCTCTAACCGAGTCTTTTCTTCTACAGCCTTCTCATGATGATTTTTCCAGACACTGGAAGCTGAAAGTACTTCAGACAATTTGACTTCCTGGAGAATATACAAAATATAGATCATGTAACATAAGAACTGCTTTTCAATTTTGCACAGTTCCTAAACACAAAAGATATTTTAACTTAAAGCAGCCTTAAATCACACCTCGGTAGTATAAAATAACGTAAACTTAAGCTTGCAATCTCAAGGAGAGAAATTAAAATAATTTAAATATATTAAATAAGCTTGAACTACAGAATTATGAGTCCCTAGAACTGAATCACAATTAAGCATTCATGTGTTTTCAAGCTGCAGACTACAGCAAGACTTCAAAATTTGAGGTAAAATGATTTCTTAAAATAAATATATTCAACTGTACTAATCTGAGACATAAGAATGACATTTTAAAAAAAGAGATCAAAATAAATGCCAGAATAAAATTGAGTCATAATAGCAAAATGTTGTGAAAAAGAAACAATAGCTAACTAAGAGAGTTTCAAACACAAAAGAAGAAAGATTGGATTTTGTGGTTTATTTCATGGCAGTTAAGTTGAGCTTTTCAAAGCGGTGAAGAGTTAGCCACACGTTTCATTAAAATTAACTGCTTTGAAAACCTTCACCTTAAACCTCACAATAGGAAAATAAAGAGAAAGCACTATGACAACACAAAAAAACTGAAATTGAAGTTAGACAAATGGCAATTAAATTAATTAAATTAATTAATTAAAATGTCCAGTACAACTGATTGTCATCATGAGAAAAACAAGTTGCATCGTATGGTCTGAAGGTAAATTAAGCCCACAAAGAAGAAACAAAGCAAATTTAATTAGATCCTGATACAATACATTTGCGTAGTCGTTCTATGTCTACAATGGTATAACATGCTATGAAATGTTATGATGAAAGTATATTCCCACCTATTGGGAAGTGCAATGAAAGGAGACCAAGTTTTAAATGTACTCTAATGGGCCAACTGATTCCATTCAGAATTGTAAGCCACCAACTCCAGAAAAGTCACTCAAAAAAGTTCTGATTCTCCTGGCCTTCTGAAATTTCTTAACATTGGTGAAAAAAAATGCTGAGGCAGCAAGAGGCCCTCAACAAGGTCTGAGCAACAGCTGAATGAGAGGGTTCTAACTTCATTTTCAAAGCTCTATAAAATTCAGAGCATACAGCTTACAAAGAGAAATTTGAGCATCTACAAGACATGCTGCCTGCTGGATCCATTTTAAAAAAAGACAATGGCTGAGTACTAAGACATCAAGATCCCCATCCTGCAATCTGATCTGTGGGTACATCTACACTACAGGGGGGAGTCGATTTAAGATACGCACATTCAACTACGTCAAGAGC